GGGGTACAGGCCTGAAATTTTTTTCAGGTCTGATTTTCACTATTGCTCAAATAGTGCTTTACTGCGAAGGATCGTGCTCATATACGACTTTTTATTGGCTTAGCCATTATGGTATATGAGCCAATATACCGTAATCTACAAATATGGTAAGCGCACGCGTCAGCTTAGAATTAAAAGGGAGCTAAAATTTTAATAAAATTTAATATTTAATGTTTTTGATAATATAATTATTCCACTTGTGCTTGTTGGATATGAGATGATTATAGCCAACTCGGCGCTATGTGCCTCGTTAGCTGTCTATCATCTCATATCCAACGCGCACTCATGGAATAATTGTTAAAATATTCATGGACTTATCATGAACACAAACACTACACAATCTGTTGTGTTGTGTGTTGTTTTACCATCTGATACCATCATGGAGACTGAGATACATTATAGCTTGTATTTATTTCAAGCAAATATCCGGTTAAGGCATGTACACAGTTTTTAATCAGCTTTATTATTCTTTTATCCCTTTTCCCTACACAGTTATGATATATTTTGTTTTATGATTTATTTAAATTATAGATATAATATTAATCTACAAGATAATAATATAGAGCTGACTGATAGTCTGAAGATTCTTGGTGTCATTTTAGATGAAAGAATAACATTTAAGCCCTATATACAAGTACAACTTAAGAAGGCGTGTGCTAAGGCAGCTGCCATGCGTAAGCTGCGTAAGTTTATGCCACAAGAAGTTATGATTCACCTTTACAAAGCATATGTACTACCCCACTTAGAGTATTGTAGCCCACTCCTGCTAGGAATAAGTAATGGCTCAAAAATAAGTTAGAGGACACTAATTACTACATCCTAAGGACTAAGCGTTGCATTCGTTTATGGCGAGGCTTTAACTCGATTTTTAATGCACTTTCGCTTAATAATTATAGAGTACATACAAATTAGATAAAATAAAGCTTTTCAATACTTTTATCTTTTAATATTAGTTCTTATTTGCTCAATTATTTGTAATTAGTTTCATGTTCACATTTTAAACGAGCTATTAGCTCTTAGGTGATACGTGAGTGAATAATTTTTTTATTTTTTTTTTAATGATAAAAATTAAAATTTATTTTTTGTAGCTAGAAGTTAAAGACAATCCACAACTTATAGAGCAGACAGTAGGTATGTCATTCTACATCCAAAACAATACCTAAAAGGTGGGGAGTCTTAACCCTTTATGTCGCAATAGTGATTAACATGTAACCTCTCCCTATAATATCCATACATCATCCAGCAAACAGGTAATGAGAATATTCAAACTTGTCAGGTAGATGTTGTCTTCTCAATATAACACCAAATGTGAGGCAGCCAGAGGGGAGAATTAACAATCAGGTCTTGGGAGTTAAAGGGTTAATCAGGGGGGTGATGATGAATCAAGAATGAGGGACAAGAGGTGTGTCCCCGCCCCACACCCCTCAGCAATGTTTCTTTACCAGCAATCAGTGTCAAAATTAGTGGACACATCATCAAAGAGTTCTATTCATGTGAAGAATAACACTTCTGTTTCCATCACACTCTAAATCATTAACACATCCCCTCCCCTCTTCAATGATCATGGAATCACGATAAAACATTGTCTTGGGGGGGAGGGGGCAAAATGGTTAACTTAACACAGACAAGAGATAAAACTGAATTAAAACAGGGTTGAAAAGTACAATTTGTCCACAGTTTTGTCACCAAGTGTAGATTGTAGTCCCCAGGGTCATAATTGAATCGAATAAATAATAAAGGAAATTTTCTGATGTTTTTATGAACACTGAACTTATTCATTGCTTATCATAATAACTCCTATTTGCCATTTTTATTCAGTCTATAGTGCTCTTGGAACTCTTACTGAATTCATCTCTGCGTGACCTTACCTTTGATGAAAACAATTAAGCCTTGACTCTCCACATTTTGATACTTGAGTAACATTATAAAACAAGATTGTGAATTTTAAAGAAATTATATCCTTGCAGGACCCAAGAAATCTTTTACTTACAAGGTAAACTGTGACAACAAGAAAGGTGACACGTCTATAGCGTGGTATTTTAAAGCTACAAGGTGACTCTTGCGTGGTTTTATGGTTAGGAGTTAGAATCATAAATTAACAGGATTTGGTATCTATACACATACATAAAGCAGCATCTATATTCAATTGATAAACTGCCTTAACTCTTTAAAATGTTGCAATTGTTAGTGAAAGGTTTTTTTTTTTAGACTGGTGCCCTTGTTTAGTATGTACTTGTTTGCAGAGTGGAGGGCCTGGAGGGGAGAATATTTGGCTCTGAGATATTTTTAAAATTATCCAGAGACAAATGTTTAATTCATCTTGGCCTAAATACTGCCAGGATATTCTACACAGTCATATAATCTTACAAGAAAAGTGCGGAGAAAAGTGCTAACCGCCTCCCGATTAGCTCAATTGGTAGAGCGCCAGACTGTTGTGTGGGAGATCATGAGTTCAAATCCGGCCGGACCAACACTAAGGGTCTTTAATTAACTGAGAAGAAAGTGCTGCCTTTGTAATAATAACTGCAAATGGTTAGACTTTCTAGTCTTCTCGGATAGGGACGATAAATGGAGGTCCCGTCTCCTGCAGGGTTGGGGTAGGAGATGTTAATTTCCCACACACGAGATTACGGTGTGATGGATGTCCTCCCCGGGATGGGATGGGTGCATAAAAAAAGGGTTAGGTATCAATTGGAACGAAAGTTCTGTTCCTCTCTCCTACCATTCCTGTGGCCAATTAATTAAACTTAAACTGAGTCTGTATACTGGTCTTATGATGTTCATCAATATTTCTTGTTTCATAGTAAAGATATTCAATTTGGACTTAAATTCAAGGCCAAGCCTCATTCAGGATGGAAAGACAATGAAAATGAAATTGAAGAAATCTGGGTGGAGGAACTGGAGCCAATTTCAGAATGTGATACATCAGTGACTGGGTAAGGTTGGATCTTGTGCATAATTCTCCCCTTGAACAGATATGTAATAAGTGACCTCTCACAGAAAAACATACACTAACAGCTTTCCATTAAACGGGTGATATGCACCGCTACCAAATGGGGAACAAACAGGTTACTCACCTGTTCAAACGGATATGTTATCAAATGGTTGAACAGGTTATCAAGTATTCTGAACAGCTTGTGTAAATTTTCAAACAGGTTACCCAAACGACTGAAATGCTTGTCAAAATTTTCAAACACATCGTGCAGACAACTGAACTGCATGTAAAAATTATCAAACGGGTTACCCAAATGACTGAATAGCTTGTGAAAATTATCGAACAGGTCATGCAAACGACTGTACAGCTTGTGAAAATTTTCGAACATGTCGACATAGATGGATGAATGGGTGTACAATTAATTTTAACAGCTCATGAAAAGCAATTACCATAAAGGCCGAATGGATAGGTTATCACTCCAAACGAATGGACAGATCTGGTCCGAGTCAGGTTTTGTTGAAACCTCAAATATTTAGTAGTTTTTAAAGGATAGTCAGCTGTAAATGAGTGAAGAGAATCTGTTTTAACATCGATATCAGGCTGATATGTTTGTTCATGTTATTACTTACTTCAGGGATCACTTAAAGGAGAAATAATTAAAAATCAATTACCTTTAGTTTGAAAGTTTACCTCATCACCATGACATTATTAATAGCAATCTTTCTATCCTTTCTTGACCAAGTGCAGGGGCACTGAAATTGGCTAGGTAGACATCCATTACAATGTTTCCTATTATGGCATTAGTCAATCTCTTTCTATTTGGTAGACCATTTCAGTTTTTGATACCTGTCAATCCCTCATCCTGAGTAACCCATTCAATTCCTGACAGTTGTCTATCAACCTTTAACTCAAAGTAAACCCACCCAATATCTGAAATCTATTGTGTCCTTCTGTTATTGAGCTTTTTTAAGGTCTGACACCCCCTCAATATTTGCATAGTACACTAGTATACACCCATTCTGGGTCTAGCATTTAAAGTCAATATCTCTCTCGCTGGTAAGTTTGTTTTTTGATTGACACTTGTCCACAACTTTTCAGTTTCTACACTCCGCCTTGTCCTGGTATCTGCACCTTGGTATGGGACAATTCAAACTGCAAGTGGCTCTCAAGAACAATCAAGTAAGACATTCCAACCCTTTGTAACAAAAACTTTCAGTTGGGGTGCTGGAAACTGCTTCTTGATTCTTTGAATTTTGATTCTAAAATTAGCTTTGGGCTTGTTATCTTACCAGAACTTTCGAGAAATGTGACATCGATCATGTTCATGTCTAGGCAGCTAAAGGGCTATGCCCATCAACACAGTAGTCAAACATCTGTGCATGTAGGAATGTTGTTATAACCAGATGGCCTGTTTTCAGGCTGTCAGAACTAAGTTGTCTCACACAAATTACAAACAACCACACAAACCAGTGAGTCACAGTGTTCCAGGGTTAGGAGTTAGAATGATAAATGACCAGGATACCCACATTTGTTTTAGCTTTATGTTCACAAGTCTTGAGTTTTCTTTTTCTCTACTTCTCTTTCTTTTAAAGATTTCTATGTGCATTTCAATTTTCTTTTGCATAATATTTTGCAACACAGCAGTTGTTTGTTATGTTTCTTTTGAAATTTTGCATGGGAAATTGGTGCATGGCTGGTCAGATCTGATCCCCTTGGGCATGCCCAACATTTGACCCCTGTGTTACATCCATCACCATCTGTGTATTTTACTTGGCCTCACAAGTTCCCTGATCATGCCGAAATCATCGTCCCATATCTATTTATTATTATCTCAGTTCTGTTGTTTATCTTTCTTGCCAAACTTATATTTTGTTGTCTCTTTTAACTTGCATGTAATATTTCTTGGTGCAAAAAAAAATATTCATTGTAAGATTTCTGATCCTTACTAGGTACCACGTCATGGTCAGCGAGGTAGATTCTGATGAAGAAATTTCAACCAATGGCAACAAAGAAAATTCCTAAACAGCAAGTATTGTTAGAGGTGGCTTCTAGAATACTATATTCATTCACGCAGATGAGGAGCTGGAGATGTCCATGGTGTGATAGTGGGTGAGGGTAAAGGCAGAATCAATCATTGCTTAATAGCATCTCAAACAAGTACTTTGGTGTAAACATACTACTCTTTGAAAATATAACAAGACAGGCTCTTGTTTTATCTTACTGTTAGCCAGTACTCACTTTACTCAGTATCTATCATAGAATAGATACTGAGTTTTGTAGCCAATCAGATTGCAGCATTTTAGATAGATAGTGAGTTGTATAGCCAATTAGATTGCAGCATTTTAAAGAGACTATCATTAAGAAGATCTGTACCATTTACTCATAAGTGAAAGAGTCAGTAAGGAAGTAGACAATTTTTTCGATAACATGCCAGGCTAATAGTCTTTCAGTATGCTGCTGTTCTGTATTGCATGAAGTTTGTTTGATTTTTTTTTTTTAATTTTAATGTTGAGCACCTGGTTTTGAGATAACTTATGATGCATAAGGATTGAAGATTGATGAGTTCTTAAACCCTCTAGAATACCTTCCACGGGAATTTGTAAGGGAATCTTTGTGGCAGTTATCTTATATTGAGACTATACACCTCAAAATTGGTAGAAAGAGTTGATCTTATTCCCGCTATTGATCTTATTGATTTTAAAATTTTTTTCATTTTGAGTATTGAAGTGTTTGATATATAACATAACGGAAGCTGAATTATGCGAGCATTTTGATTGGTTCTTACTCATGATCTGTTGGAGGACTGACGCATAGGCAACATCATCATTAACATTTCAGTGACCCACAGAATAATAATAATAATAATAATAATAATAATAATAATAATAATAATAATAATAATAGCTGCACCTGGCAGACCACTTTTTTGTTTAAAGCACATCTGCCATCATTGGAGGTGCAGTGGCCTCAGGGTTAGTGTGCTCGACTCTGGATCGAGTGGTCTGGGTTCAAGCCCTGGCCAAGGATATTGTGTTGTGTTCTTAGGCAAGACACTTTAACTCACAGTGTCTCTCTTCACCCAGGTGTTTAAATGGGTATCATTGAATTTAATGCCAGAGTGTAACCCTGCGATGGACTAGCATCCCATCCAGGGGGGAGTAGAAATACCCCTAGTCCTTTCATGCTATAGAAACCAAAGTTAAGCTCCATCCTGATGGGCCACTTGGCTCTTTCACTGAAAAGATTCACAGCAAGATGCAAGATGGAATGTATTTGTTAAATTTTTCCTAATATCAATACACAGTCAATCAAACTGGTAATGAGAAGAACAAAATTTGCTGACCAGGAAATATAATGTCTTGTCGCATTCTTTTTACATCTAAATGAGATTTTTCTGTCCTCGAAGGATAGGTGGGTATTTTCATAGCATTGGTTTTTAACTGTGGCAATGATATTTATAATGATTAATTAATGGTGAATGATAACAACATTATTTATTGATGAGAGTTATCTTGCAAATCGAATTCAAGATATTTAATGGATTGATCATGAATTCTGGACATATTTTTCTAGTGATATAGGTGTATTTGACATGCTATTTAAACAGCGTATGATAATTATATTGTGATACTTGCCACTATCACTTACTCACTACTGTATGAACATGTGGCTGAAAAGTGGTAATATTATTAATGGTGAGGGTTAATTCTAGTGAATTTGAAGGTTTCCCACATAAATTTGTAAAATGAGGTAGAAAAAAGTGCTAGTTTTGTCTATAAATAAAAACCAGGCTAAAATTAAGTATCTAAAATTCAAAACATACAAGTATTATTAGCTTAGCTCTTCAACTTCTTACAATTTTTACATACACTTACTTCTACCCTGCTGGCAGAGGCGTTTATTTGTGAACTTCCCCTACGGTCCACGTAAAAATAAAGTCTTCTGCGCTCGGCCTGTTAAATCTTGTTCGAGCATGCGCCAGGGAATTATCCAAGTTTTGGGATAATCTAATTTGCAAAACCGGTCAGAACCTGTTTTAAACACGTTTTTATGCGCACGCATCCAATTTAGTTGGCCGAGTACTACCGGGAACTCATTTGTTTCTAAGCAACAGGCCGCGCATGCTCGAAGAAGATTTAATAGGCCGAGCGCAGAGGACTTTATTTTTACGTGGACCGTAGGGGAAGTTAACAAATAATCGCCTCTGCCAGCAGGGTAACTTCTTAAGAGTGCTACAATATCTTTCCAACTATCTCTTAATTATAGTATTTTCCTATTTTCCATACACAGGAAATGTTTTTATAGGGCTTAATGCTTAGTGTTAATAGTGTTTTCCAAGAGAGAATATTTGTTTAAACTCGGTTGTATGTAGTTTTGCAAAACAAGCTAAAAATATCATGGTCGGGTATTTATCTGGACAGAGCTGTTTTACAGTTCTTTGATAAATTATTGTTATTAGCTAATATTTGAAACTTTTTTCAATTGACATAGAAGTGTACTAAGTAATGAGAGGATAATTTTCTGAAAATCAGCTCAAATTAATCAATAAGCGTTAGCCACTGTCTGCGCGTTTCCCGCTTATTTTCCCCGCCACTAGACTGGCCGCTTAGGATTTTCGTATCCGGCAATAAGGGGCCAATCGCGTTAAATAATTCAGATTCAAACGATCTAAAAGCGTTTGCCAGTGGTTAAACTTTTCCCGGGCTTTTTGGTTCTTTGGTTTTCATTTTCGTCGTCATTCATTGGTTGCATTTTTCCTCGCTCAATTTTTCCTGCCCTTTTACAAGGCCCTTTGGGTTGTGATTGGTTTATTCTCTCGCTCATAGTTGATAGCTTTTCGCGCTGTTTACAACTTTTGCCAAGCACTACACTTCGTCCAATTTTTTTTTTTAATCCTAAGTTGTAGGAAAGTTTAGAACTAGTGTGAGATGGTTAACAAAACCTTGTAAAATGTTATTTATCATTGCGATTATTTAAGTATTTATTGGCTGAATATCACTGTTTATTTTCACTTATTTTAATCTTATTTAAAAGATTTTTACCAAGAGAGGATACGCTTTATTCTCTCTTTATTTTAAGATAGTTACATATTGTAATACTAACGTAACTTTTCTCATCAAGAGAACCTTAAAAAGTTAACAAATAGTTTATTTTGCAGTTAGAATAAACCATCGCTATAAAAAGTCACTGACTTTCGTCTCCATTTACTTTCTCTAACAAAAATTATATCAATGAAAGTCCGAAGTCTTCCCGGTGAAGAGCCCTTTTGGAAATGTATTCAGATGAAACCCGTTAGAAACGTCCGAAGCTGGACGTTACGGTTCGAAATCGGACGAATCTGTCCGAATTTAGACGAAACCAGACGAACCCCTCCTAAATCGGGCAGAACAATCTGCAATTCAACGACCCTTCCGGAATAAGACAACGGGAAGAATTTAGGAGACACTGTTCAAAAAAGGACGAAACATTCTTGAATAAACGAAAGCTTTCGAAATCATAGAGACGAACTGTAATCGGACTGGACTGTCCGGATGAAGAAAATCAGACGGAATTGTCCAAAAGAGGATGGGAACGTTCTTAATCGACCGTCAGGTTCGGAATCAGACGGGGGAGTCCGAAAACAGACGGACCTTGGCCGCAATCAGTGCACCAAACTGTCCGATGTAAGACGAAGCCGCTGTCGACAACTCTGATCTAAGCAGTGCAAGCGGGAAAAATCTGACTCGCTGAGCACCCAGGACTTTTTGGCAATGTTTGAGCCACTGACCTCGACTTAACTACGATTATAATGTTTCTATTCAAATAATGACCTCTTTATTCATAACACCAGCCGTTATGATGTTACCGCATGCCGCTGTCCTTTCGTCTAACGACCATTTTAGACTTCAAAGCGTGACAGTTCAAAATACGTTAATTAAAATTAACTTTTATAATTTATGTGTGAAGGATTGCTCCTAAGGAATATATATTATTATCGGATTGTCTTCAACATCTACAAGACGCAAATTACAAAACAACTGAATACCACAACAGATAAGGCGTAATATGGAATACATTTTGTGGGAAGAACGTCCTATTTTAAAGCATATTGTGGTTTCCCCTGTTCTTTTAAGATAGCGTGGGAAAGCCGTATCAATACATCTCCTCGCTCATTCGCCGCTAGCTACAAAACGGAGCGGGGAAAAGGTCATGCGAATTGGCGGTATTGACATATTAAAACTAAGTGTTATAGAAAGATGTTACGAATTCGTCTGATCGCAAAGAGGAAAAGAAAAAGTTTCATTTCTGGAGATTTTGAGAATAGGTACATTTCGAGTCCGGACTATGACGATTTTATGTCTATTATTTTCAAATTCAAACAAAAAGAAAAAAGAAAGAAATCTATCATACGTATTTTCGTTTAAATATGTTTTAAAAGTTTTTTTCACAACTTAGCTAGAAGTTGTCATCTTTATACAACACCAAATTCTCGTAACTGATTTACAAGGAAATTTATAGCAGGTAGATGGGATAATTGACTATCAGAGCTTGGGCGAGTTTACAAAGCAAAAACAAAATACATGGCTGCGAAAGGGGGCGGTTATAAACAATCTTGTAGATCAGTTCGTAATTCTTAAGAGGGCACTGCCGGCCTAATGAGCATGACAGCTTTCTTATCAGGTAAGCAGTTTGCTCTTGTAGACACTACGTTTAAGTATTGCTTGCTTTCAAATTTTTGGATGTATTTCCGCGTGCAAATACTTTGGCCTGATAAGATATTGTATTTGATTAATACAGTAGTATTTGCTGCTTTTATAAACTTCACAGGTAACAAAACATAATGACTGATTCCCAGGAACATCTTTATTATTCAAAAGGCGTTTATCTCTCTCTGTTTCGTGAAAAGCAACAAATATACAACTGCAAAACAGATGTTGAGCACCTGGAAATGATTTCTGATAGCCAAGGTCAAATCAAAATTCCAGAACGGAAAATTATAAGATGTTCGATCCGCGAACACGACCGATCACCAAACTACACGCAACATGGAAAGTTTTTCATTTGGATAAATGAAACTCTAAACCTGCCTTAACCTGACTCTCAGATGGTCTAAAGTCGCCTGAAATCTCCCTCTGGCTTGCAAATTAAACAATATCTTTTTCTGGAGATAAAGTCTGTGAAAACCTTCTCTAATATTTTTATTTACGCGTCAGACCAAAATCATAGGGTTTGCGGAAGCAAAGTCGAAAGCCTGCAACAGCTAGTGTCATAACATATGATAGAAAAGTGCGATCCCGTAGAAGTTCTTTTGGCAAACTCATGGAAAGAAACTCAGTAAGAGGTTTTGATTACAAAGGCCGTTCTTTCGTCACTCGGTAACCGATGACAATCTTTCGCGAGATTCCGGATCTAGCTTTGCGGCTCGTTGGTTGTAACGCCCGTGGGAAACTGCTCTACTAACTATGATTACACAGAGAAGCATGTTTGGGATTAGGGAAATTTTTCTGCTCAAAATTTCGCAGTTTTATTGGACACCTGTTCATTAGCATTTTCTCACCGCTGTCTCGATCAAAATATCAAAACAGTAACGGGTAATATCGAGTGACCATAACGAAATCAACTCTGAGATTTGTGCGAGTATACCATTAACCTTGTTTTATGAAAAGGATATTTTAAAAAGTAAAAATCACGTCACAAACGCTTTCCCACGCCATAGATTTTCTCTTGCATACCGCTAAAATTAATTCACAGATCATTTTATTTTAAAAGTGTTTCAAATTTTGAATCTACACTGATTAGTGTTCGAAGCGATCATGGCCTTTTCGTAAGTCGTGTGTTAAAAAAAGTGAAGTGGTTCTTGTCGTAACCAGAGTGTTCTGTGAAAAAAAAACTGAATCTTTTACTTTTGACATGTTTGAACGTTTACTGAGAAAACTTTAATATGTTGCTAATCAAAAAAACCATGCGATTCCCCAAAAAATCCATCGACCCAAAGGTGATAAACAATCGCTGGTCCATGAAGATCAACAGCCGTAACTGGTGCTTGGAGCTCCAAACGCCCAGGAGTCAGTAGGTAGCCCTTTGCGTCTAGTTTGAGTTATTTCAGATAACTAAATAGTATAGCTAAAAAAAGTTTTATGGAAATTAGGTCCTGTCACGAGTGCACAACAAAAAATTGGGAACAAACAAATACTGTCTTTCTTTTACTATCTTACAGATCATATTGTGACAAGAGCAATCATTGCGGCTGTGATATCAGTGCATCAGTTACAATACCTGGCGCTCACATCTGAAATGAGCAATATGCGCAAGGCTGATACAAAATATTGGTGTGTAATAGATGCATGTGATTGACCTTTTAGGCGATTCCGTGTTTGGCTACACCAAAGCGCCTGCTAATTGTGGGATGAGTTATTTGCTTTTCGGGAGAAAAGTAAAAAATTGCCGCTAACGGCCGACCGCAGTTTTTCGTGTGGGAAAAAAGAATGCTAAAACGGGAGTCCAATCACCACCGTCCGACGCCAAAATGGGCGCGGTTCAGTCTTAATATCGTGACTAAGCAGTGGTGATCACCCACCCTCGCGAAGTGCGGGGGCAAACAAATTGGAATTTAGAAATCCAGAAAGCTCGCGGTGTTTGGTTTTTTTAGTCTAAAATATGATAAATAAAACGGGGCACACCGAGCAACATGCACAACAAGCACGCAAAGAAAGAAAACGCTCAGGGGAAATTCGAATAGTATTAAGAGGGAAGGAGAACGAACGAGAAGAATATCCCAGAGGTTGCCCCCCTTTAAAAGCTATTAAGGTATGTGCCGCCCCAAAAGGGTAATTTTTTTTGAGCCTGTTTGGTCTTCAAGCGAGTTTACATGTAATCTCTATGGTCTGAGACTGCGTAAGGTTTTTAAGGGAAGGGAAATAGCGATAGAGAAAGAGGGAGAGGAAG